GCGGCGGACATGGCAGGAATAAAGGAGGCCCTCTAGAAAGCTGGCTGAAGGTGTTGATGAGCGAGTACATCATGGTACCCACGTCGTTGGCCGTGGGGCTGGCGCCCAGCACGGACTCGATGCAGAGCGCGAGGGCTTCCATGTCAAGGTTGTCGAGCGGCTCGCCGACGATGATGCGGGCCACCATTCCCAGGGATGCCGGGGGGTTTGCCTCCTCGCGGAGGCGAAGCACGCCAAGCTGGTCAGTGATGAAATCCAAGCTTCTGAAGCCAAAGGCCTGCAGCGGTGCGAACACCGGTGGAACCCACGTCCCGCCAAGAGCGGGAGCGGGGAACTCCAGCGAGCCAAAATGGATCGTATCGTTGGCGCCCGCCAAGCCGGCGGTGACGACGATATGGGCCATCCGATGACCTAAAAAAGAATGCGAACGCGACGGCGTCTTCCCCACAGACGGCGCCAGCTGTCGGTGCAAAATGTGGCCGACAAATAAATATATGTAGTTTTGCCACGCATTATATCGGATGTGGCCTAGCACTCAATGACACAGGATCTATACTAGTTCGAGCAACATGCCCTACGTCTAGTTAGGGGGTCGATCGTCGACTTTATTCCTGAGCCTAGGTGCTCAAAGTTTGCAGTGGGGGTACAAATGAGAGGAGGAAGAAGAGGGGTGTCCGTGCTCCGGAGGAGGCGGAATCCGAACATGATCTAAGTGATGGGGGTGTAGTGCGTTACTGAAAGGGTTGAGATGGCGACTAGAGGGGGGGTGAATAGTCCTTTTTAAAACTTAATCGCATCGGCTAACCGAAACAAGTGCGGAATTAAAACTATCGGTCTAGCCAAGACTACACCCCTCTATCTATGTTCTTTAGCACCTTTCAAATATACTAATTAAGCAATTAAGGTGTCGGCTAGCTAGAGCTCACCTAATCAATTCTAGGAGCAATGTCACACAAACCTATGCCTCTAGTACTTTAAGCAACAAGGGAGCTCCTACACATGCTAGTAAGCAAAAGCACAAAGCCAACTAAGCTCACTAGCAATGCTCAATAACAAGGCAACCAATGCCAAATTAGAGAGCTCAATTACTTAGCTACACAAACTAAGCAATGTGACTAACAAGGTTACACAAACCAAATTAGCCACGCAAGGGAGCTACTTCTATGCTACACAAGTAAGAAGGTAACTAGTAAGCTACACAAGCTAACTAATTACGAAAGCAACAACACAAGCTCAATGTATATGAAAGTAATTGCAAGCTTGTATAACGGGGATACAAACCAACGGGAAGAACAAGGTTGACACGATGATTTTTCTCCCGAGGTTCACGTGTTTGCCAACACGCTAGTCCCCGTTGTGTCGACCGCTCACTTGGTGGTTCGGCGGCTAATTGGCATCACCCGCCAAGCCCGCACGTCGGGCGCCGCAAGAACCAACCCCGGAAGTGAGGGTAGCTCAATGACACGCTTTACTAAAGTTGCTCTTCACGGCTCCCGCGGGGCGAGCACAATGCCCCTCACAAAGCACTTCTCCGGAGCGCCGCACAAGCTTCTTGCGGGCTTCGACGGAGACCACCACCAAGCCGTCTAGGAGGTGGCAACCTCCAAGAGTAACAAGCACCACCGGCTTGCAACTCGATCACCTAGTGCCACTCGATGCAACCTCACGATGCAATCGCACTAGAATCGCTCACTCACACAATCGAATGATCACTATCAAGTATATGTGTGATGGAGGGCTCCCAAGCACTCACAAGCATGGACACTAAGTCCCCTTAGGTGCTCAGCCCTCACCATGGCTGAGGGCCACTTCTATTTATAGCCCCAGGGGCTAAACTAGCCGTTACCCCTTCACTGGGCAACGGTCGGGTTGACCGGACGCTCCGGTCGGTTGACCGGACGCTGAGCCCCCAGCGTCCGGACGCTCATAGTCAGCCACGTGTCTGACTCCAACGGTCATCTGCTTTGACCGAACGGACGCTTCGGTCAGTTGACCGGACACTGAACCCTCAGCATCCGGTCGTTTCTAGTAAGGGTCCAAAACCGATTTTTATCGACCGGACACAGCCCAACGTCCGGTGCATAACCCTAAGCACTGTGCAGACCGACCACTTGACCTGACGCAACCCTTCAGCGTCCGGTCGCCGAGCGACCCAGCGTCCGATCAATAGACCGACGCCAGCATCTCACTGTTACACATGACCGGACGCGCCGGTCCCTCAGAGGTCCAGCGTCCGGTCACTGAATAACCAGCGACACTAACTCGTTTTTACTTCTAACTTCTCCACCCTTGCTCAAATGTGCTAACCACAAAGTGTATCACCTTGTGCACATGTGTTAGCATATTTTCACAAATATTTTCAAGGGTGTTAGCACTCCTCTTGCCACGCCACTCAATCCTAGCGACGATGTAAAGTTAGATCACTCGAGTGGCACTAGATGACCGATATGCAAACAAGTTTGTCCCTCTTGATAGTACGGCCATCTATCCTAAACCCGGTCATAAACTTCTCTACACACCTATGACCGGTGAAATGAAATGCCCTAGGTTATACCTTTGCCTTGCGCATTCCATTTCATCTCCTCCAACGTCGATGCAACACATGCACCAACATGATCAACAATGATATGATCCACTTCATATCATCATGTGATCATATTGGTTCATCGATCTTGACTTCACTTGCTCTTCACCGTTGCCATCGTCCATCGGCGACAAGTCTTGCTCAAGCTTCACCGCCACGCGGTCCATCACTCCAAAGCTTCCGACTTGCCCTTCACGCTTGCAACTGGTCCATCAAGCCAAGTCTTATCTTGATCTTCTCCACCTTGATCACATGACTCAATGTCATGTCTCATGTGCAATAAGCTCCTTCATCATCACATGTGTGAGCTTTGCAACATCTCCAAGCCATTTTCACCTTTCATGGCATATGTTGCTCACACACATGTACTTGTGGACTAATTACCTGTGTATCTCACATAAACACAGTTAGTCCACCTAGGTTGTCACTCAATTACCAAAACCAAACAAGGACCTTTCAGTTACAAGTGTGGAGTGCGTGTGTGTGCGTTTTCTATTGAGGGGAGCTCGAGAGAGAGCTGGGTCAATCTCCCTAGAGTCGGTCGAGCCTTCGGAGGGAGAGAGTGAGTCTGTTGGTCGGTTGGAGGGCTCAGAGCTCCTAGCTCTCTGCTCTTCTCTTGGATAGGGAGGGGGCACACGCCCTTTTATAGTACAAGGGGGCGTCCCTTACATGTCGGAAGAAGATATGAGAGTTGGTATGCGGGCGCTGCCTAGTCTTGTCGAATCCCTTGTCCGGCGGATATGGTATGGCCTCCGTCCTTGGTCCCTGTTCTCTGTGTCAGGTCATCATATCGCTACATCAAGCCATCACACCATAGCGGGTAGGTTTACGGCGCCATTGTGCGGACGTGCGCAGGGCGTGGCGCGGTAAGGCTCCACGTACGACCGGCTGACCCAGGTGTCGCATTGTTATCCGCTCCACCTGCTCCTAGGGCCCACACGGGGTGGCCATCCCTGGTTGGAGGTCAGCGCTGGTGGCATAGTGGAGGCCTGGCCGGGGAGCCAGGTCGGGGACTCGAGCCTGGGGCATCCGGCCAAGGAGAGCTGGTCAGGAGCCCCTGGTCGGGGTCGGACTGTGGTCCCATGTGTGGTGGGCCCCGTTCGGCTGGTTTCCGAGCGAGTCTCCAGGTCGGGGGACCTGGTCGGCGACTGGGCCGTGGTCTTCGGCCTAAACGTATGCAACTAGGTCAGCCCAGTTGCCCGTTGTTGCGACGCCCTCCGTTGGGCTAAGTGCTACGGGAAGCGGTCCCGTTGGGGACCCCGGGTCTATGGACCCGTCACCATGCTTGTGCTTCATATTCATACGTATCTGTGCCACTTTATGACACTCTTGGTATGTTCACAACACAGAATTACCATTGGATTCCTGTTCATTCTTGATTCATCTAGTGACAGTTTTGTATATTGTACTTGCAGGTCCCGATGCTGTCCAATTCATTGTGAACCATGCAACTGTGGAAGTTATATTCTGTGTGCCTCAAACTGTAAGCATTGTGAGCTTTAGTCCCTACTCTCAGCCTTCGACTGTTACTAGTTCCTACAATAAAAAATTGCAAATAAAACATATGAGGCTGCATGTCAGGAGTCACACTTGTCCTAACTAATGAGGCTGGAAGCCTGGAACTGCTCCATGAATTTGGGTCATTCTTTATTTGTTTGTGTATAACTCCAGTCACGGGTTTCTCTAGTGTCAGAAAAGTTGGATTATGGTTTATACGACAGGCATCACAGCTATATTTTTCCTGGCCCATGTCCACAAAAGAGATGGTTAATCTGGTGGATATTGGGGCCTAATCTTAAACTAGGTTTACATGCATAAACAATACAAAATGTGTTCCTATTTTGAAACGGTACACCAGTTTATCAATGCCTTTTAGCTTTGAACTTCACACTACACCATTCTACATTCCAAAACTAAACTTGATCTATGGCCCTTTGTTTTACTCATCGTTATTTGATTTATGACCTATTTTTTCACACTATCCATTGTTTTCTGATTAATTGTTGAACTTACTAAAATGGTGCAGGTGGTATTCATTTACTGTCCATTGATCTCTGCTTCTAAATTTAACACTGATCATTAATTGTTGCTTGGTTCATAAAAGCGTTGAAAGAAAATTGAACATGGAGATGACAAAACTGTGAAACTAGAAATGCATAACATCACAATGCAACTATCTGTGCATAATACTCGCAGAATAATTTTGCTTCAGCATTCATTTATTCATGTACAGAATAAGGGCACGAAACAAAATAAACTGTACATGAGACTAAGCTGAATATTGAACACCAAGCCACTTTGGAAGCCGTCAGACTTGATGGTGATGAACGTGCCCTGCATCCTGAACCGTAGTAGAGACGAAACGAAACGTGCATATTTGTTTGCTGGGTCATTCAGCGGTTCAACGCCTGATCGATCAGTACCTCTGGAAGTAGGCATCGAAGCCTCTCCTCGAGAAGCAAAACCTGGCCGAGTTCCCTGGCCGTCCAAGAAGAAACCTCCTGCCGACGCCGCCACCCAAGACGAGCCTCCTGGAGCTGTAGTAGTAGCCGGAGTAGGGGTACGACGACGACAGCGCGCTGCTCGCGTCGACCGGCACCGCGTTGCTCACCGACCGTGCTGGCAGCAGGCAGTTGGCCAGCAGAGCATGCTGCTGCTGCTGCCCGTCGTCGGCGACGGCAGCAGAATAGTAATGGCCGCGGTGACCATCGAGGAGGTCGATGTCGAGCTCGAACAGCTCGTCCTCGTCGTCGATGTCGTCGGCGACCACCTTCTTCCGGTCATCGCCGTCGCTGGCCATGCCTATGCCTGCCATGTTGCTTTGTGATTGTATATGTTTAATTTCCTGGTGACTTGGATGAAGAACGAATTGAAGGTGGAGCTGGGCGTGGCGTGCAGGGTACCGGTGGTATATATGATGATGCTTTACCTTGCTTGCACGAACATAGACGAGGGTGCGTGAGTTTGTTCTACTGTCCTGGATAAAGATGGTTGGGAATGGCGCGCTTGTTAGGTGGTGACATCGTGACCCGGTAGAGTAGAGTAGAGTAGGTTGCCTACAATTCCTATCTCCTAGGGACGCTTTCTAATTGATTAATTATTAATTAATCCATGACAAATTAATTGTTATGTGTGACCAGAGTGACAAGTAGTCGTCTTTCGTTAGACGATCTTTAGATTGTTTTCTTTTTTTTTAGACGGTCTTTTAGATTGTTTCCCATTCACGTCAAAAAGCTGCCACACAAATACAAAATTAATTACTAGGCCTGAATCCATGCGCAGCCCAGACGACGGATTTTTCCCTGTCGGGCTCATATTGGGCTGGGCTTACTCCGGGCTTTCCAGTGAAACGCACGGGGGGCCTGCTGCCGGCCTGGTATCTCGCAAGCACTCACCAGTCACTCGAGTGCGGTGTGCGGATGACGTCGCCAGCATCTTGTGCAGGGTTGACATGGTCAACCGCGCGTCAGACACTCAGACTCAGACAAACATGGCATGTGTGAATTTAAAAAACAAACATGATTTGTGCTTAAAACGTCTCGAATCGCAAATAAGTTCCCATTTCACACGTTGAAAAGGGTGAAGGGCTTTACTCCAAGTCGATTCATAGCTATACTACTTATTCATGCCGTACTGATGATCTCTCTCATTTCTTCTTCAATTCCTTGAGAAAAAACTCTATGGCATTGCATACATATTTGCATACAAGAGCAGCAGTACTGGAACAATCGTCGGTAGCATGCTGCGTGCACTGTGAAAAGACTGCTCAACTGACTAGTTGAGTTGAGTACTCCATCTGCGTAGCACAAAATGCTGCCGCTGCTGGCTTAACCATGCATCATCATCAGTTCCTAACTTCCTTCTACTACTACTCTACCAGTGGCTAGTTAGGAGTAGTAACCAGCTAGCTACTGCTACGTTACAAAAGACAAGGATGCAGCTAGCGTTCACTTGCTTGTTCACATGGTGGGCTGCTGCTTGCCGGCCGCCTTGAAGTTGTTGGCCGCGGTGGCGGCGCCTTGCTGTTGCTGGGACGCCGACGACGACGCCGAGGAGTTGTGCTGCTGCTGCTGCTTGCGCTTGAGCTGGGCGAGGAGGGCCTTGTTCTCCTGGTCCAGCTGCTGCGCCTTCCTCCGCAGCCGCTCGTTCTCGTGCATCATCCGCTGGTTCTCCAGGCACAGGCTCGAGTTCACACGCTCCATCCTTCGCCTGGCAAGCTACCTGCATATATATGCATCCAAAACCACCAAAAATAAAGTTCTGAAGCCAAATGCTTGCAGTCAATTTTCAGAACGAGCATGATCAAAACACATGTAACTTCAACTGGAAACAAGAAACAAAAGGGTTCAACGCAGACAAGAGAATATATACTCGAATTTGCAATCCTCTGCATTTGAAGCACGCACTAGTACCTACCTCTCCCTGAACTCTGCAGCAGCGCGGTTGGCCCGGCCTTTACAGGCAGATGATTTGCACTTGTGCAGGGGGTCGGGGAGGACGAGGAGGCTAGATGAGGAAGAAAGAGCTCGATGTGTTTCGCTCAAGTGTGCCTGGGAGTCTATTTATAGCCCGCCCCATCAAGCTCGATCAAAGGAGCAAGTGTTCTTGTACAAGTACTACGAGTCAATGCTGTGCGTCATGTATCATCCTCTGTCAGCTGCAGACTCGAGGCTGTGTCCGTGGTAGGTAGCTGTCAACAGAGTAGAGTGTGATGATGGAGATGAATTGATGACGCCCTCCAGGTCAAAATATATGCCATCATTCTTCCTCTTCCTCGTCGGTCTTGTCAGCCCTGCTGGCCACGCCTGGTCTTCCTTCTTGCCTTTGCTGCGCTTCCTCCCTCTGGATCTGTTTATTGTTGGGTTGGTTGATTTAGTGTGAGAAAAAAATTTATATTATTTTTTTTGAGAGAAAAAACATCATTGGTACGATCATTTAAAAACCAACAAGCGAAATGGTCCTTCTTGCCTTCTTGCCTTCCACTGCGCTTCCCAACTCCTCTCTAGTCTGGACCCTCCTCTCTCTCTCTCTCCATGACACACACAAATGTCGAGAAATCAAAACTAATTGCATTTGATTGTACTTCGCCCGTTTACCCTTTAAGCCTAATTAGTCAATGTTTGAACTTATTCTTTTTAGTTGGCCTCCCTGAATTTTTTAATGAACTAAACGTGGCCTGCATTTCTTCGCCCCGTTTACCCCGTTCGTTTCGGCTTGGGTCTTTTTTAGTTGGCGAATTTTTTTAAACGGTACTGTAACACTTTCGTTGTTATTTGGTAATTAGTGTCCAATCATAATCTAATTAGACTTAAAAGATTCGTCTCGTAAATTTCGTCTAAACTGTGTAATTAGTTTTATTTTTTATTTATATTTAATGCTTCATGCATGCGTCCAAAGATTCGATGTGATGGGAAATCTTGAAAAATTTTGCAAAATTTTGAGAACTAAACAGGCACTTGGGTGGTGTTTAGTTCCCAAAATTTTAAGATTTTTCGTCATATCGAATCTTTGACGTATGTACGAAGCATTAAATATAAATAAAAAATAAAACTAATTACACAGTTTAGACGAAATTCACGAGACGAATCTTTTAAACCTAATTAGACTATGATTGGACACTAATTGTCAAATAACAACGAAAGTGCTACTGTACCATTTTCCAAAAAAATTCACCAACTAAACAAGGTCTTGTTTGGCGTATAAACCATGACTGAAAATATTGTTGGCTGGTTTGGTGTGAGAGAAAAATACTATTTGTTAGCTTATAAGCCATGGCTTATAAGCCAAATACGATCAAGCGAACAGACTTACTTGCTTGAGCGTCAAAAGGGTCAATGGCATTTACAACATGACAACATTGTGCTTTGGAGTTGAACAATGGCTTAGGGACTATTTGGTTTCTATGGACTAAAATATTTTGAACTAAAATTTACACTTTAGTTAAACTAAACAGTCAAATACTTGAACTAAAAATGAACTAAAATCCTTTAGTCTTTTAGTCCACAAAACTAGACTAAAATAGACTAAAAGGTGTTGGGGACACCCATACCTCTCATTTATTATTCTCTCTCCACTTTAGTCTATTTTAATTTAAAAACCAAACACTAGTTTAGTTCACTTTTAGTTCATGAACTAAAGTGGACTAAAACTTTTACTCCATGGAGCAGAGAACCAGGGCCTTAAGCCGGACTGAAGGCGGATCATCATACAAGAACACATGATTACTTTACTTGAGCGTCAAAAGGTCAATGGCATTTACAACCGTTGCACTCGATTGCATCTACTACTAGCAATAGCAAGTGTACAGTACTCGAATGCACAGTGCAGTGTGCCTAGTCTTTGGCTGTCAACTCCAATGTTCTTGCTGATCTTGGAACAGATCTCTCTTGCTGTCCCGAGGCATGAGCGAATGATGACCAACATTTAAGTGCAGATCATCACTTCGGCCGTGTTTAGTTGGAGGCCGATTCGGCGCCGCTGGATTCGGCGACACAGTTCTGCACTGCTTTGTTTTTTCGGAACAATTGATCTCTAATTGCTTAAACGTTCCGATCGTGAGCATGAGCAATTAGTTTTGATTTCGAACATTTAAGACTCAACATTTAAGTTTAATGTAGAAATCATCAAATTCTGAAAAATGGGGTAACTAAACATGGCCTTCACTGCCTTCGATCGATCGATCGCCCTGTTGCTACCATCCTCCAATACTCCATGATGGCCAGCGCCCATGTCACTCTCACTTCACAACAAAGATTGACGTCAAAAAGATGCATCCGAAAGTTTCAAAAAAAAAAGATGCATCCTGTTATTTTCTTACTCATGTGCAACATGCCAACAGTAATACGTATTTCTAGTTGGCAGAATCGGTCTAAAAGCATGACTCTTCTAAAAGATTAACCTCAGAAAAAAAAATGACACAACAAGTGAAAAATACAGTGAATTAAAGACAATGCCCATTTTCCACCACCTTTCACTAGAATTTTTTTAAGAGTAAAGTGCGTAGTCATTCCTTAAACTTGCGTATACGTGTCATCTCGGTCCTGTGCTCTGAAAATGTATTTTTATGTCCCTAAACTTGTTTTGGGTCTCAAAGTGGTCCAAATGGGTCTTTGACCCGCACCCACATATGGACGTGGCGTGGTGACATGGCTGGACCGTCCATAGGGTCCACAAGCCAGTTCTCTCAGCACGCCAGCATGGATTGGCCTCTCGCTTCCTTTCTTCCCCGGCGAGGAGCACCACAACTACCACCGCTGCTCCCTTTGTCCTGTAGTTCTTCTCTCCGGCACACTAGAGACCAGACTTCGGGCCGATGCCGTGCATGAAGTCCAGCTCGATAGCAGCAGCACCAACGCCGGCGTCGACACCGTTTGGGACGACACTGAGGTACCTCCACGTTGAGGTTCAGCACGTACGGCTGCTGCTGTTCAGCGTCCCAGTTCTTGTCCTCAGCCTTGGAAGCGGCCGTCTCGTATGTGATGAACATAATGACCTCGACGAGCGACTCTAATAAACATCGCGGATAACGGGACTGAAGATGGCCATGAAGAGCATGGTGCCGACGGCATCACCGCCGGGACGTGGTGCATTGGCGTCTTCTGCCATTTGCGCGCCGTGCGCATGTTGTTTCTCCCGTTGTGCTCAACAAATTGTTAGTCGTGGCCTTGGTGGCGCATGGACAACGCACGCCAGGTGCTCGATCTTATGCTTAAGCCAGTGCCTCACCTTCGCAGCGTCCATGGTCGTCTCCGTCCCTGCTGCCTCCTCGACCTCGCCGTCTCTGTCAATGCGGCTCCTCCCATGGCACCTCCTTCGCACGCGCGACGACGGCAGCTCGATATGGGCACATGTAGTGACATGACCGGGGAGTAGCTCGACGTAGAGGACGGAGAAGCCGAGGCAGGCGACCATGAGCTCGTCATGCATGCGGCATGCCAAGTTGCCACAACCTCGAAGATGGCGCGGCCTACAGCACCGCCGCTCTCCCCAGCTCGCGAGATTGCCACCTGCCGCTGTTCCTCCTCCGCTCGCTGGCAAGGACTAAGGGATCATGCTCGCCCTTTCCACGTAGACTCCATGTTGGCACGAGGCGCACAGCATGGGATCCGATTGGAAATTAAGACCCATTCATGCATTTTAAAGCATTCGGAATGAATTCGCCGTATAAAATTAAGGACTTGATTTTTTTAACATGCCTGCAGAGATCATGCGTACGGCCGGCAGCCCTTTCCACATAGACTCCATGTTGGCATGCTGAGAATGCACAGTTCATGGTGACCCCTTGGACCATGGTGAGATCCAAACAGAGTTTAGGGATAAAAAATGTATTTTAAGAGTATAGGGATCGGAACGACACAGCCATCGTCTAAGTTCAAGGACTTGATTTTTTTTGGTTGTGGGGCACTTGATTTTTTTTTGTTGGTCACCACTTTTCGCTGAGAATGGACAATGTTCAATGGTGAAGGCCTTGGGAGGTCAGGTGAATGGCAATACACAAGAATAGGAGCTGCATATACACAAGGATGGAATGGGAAATCTTGGAACTTGCTGAGCATACCTACACTGTGCAAGTGGTACCAGTACTACATACAGTAGGTGTGAAGGGGGCAATGAGCAGTGTGAGACTGAGTTGGGGCAGTTAGGATGTCAGTTTTGGCCTTTACCATGACACTGGAAGTAAGGAATGTGAGCTCAGCAGTGCCTCAGGCCCTGTCACGTACTCTGGTCCAGTCAAGTGGCAGGCAAAGTAGGAAGCCAAGAACCAGTATTTGCAGGAAGTCCGGTTGGAGTTCATGTGCAACAGATTTCTTACTGTCCCGAGGCAAGAACTCATGATGATCAGCATTCAAGTGCATGTTTTCTGTTCTCCAATGCTCTCAACCACTGCCCATATGCTTCTCCAATGCTCTCAATCCTCCATCATGTCACTTGGAGATTTGGTTTTGAACGCGCTGTGTGCAAACATTTTTTCAACCAAAAAAAGAAAAGATACGAGTAGTATGTTTTTTTGCAGAATGAAATACAACATTGTGACTCCGTGTCCTATTATTGAGTCAAATCTCTAAAGTATCTTTGCACTACCCGACCACTTCCTTCGAGCGCTGTAAGGCCAGTCTCAATAGGAGTATCATAAAAGTTTTATAGGCATTTAATTTCATACCACATCAGCAAAAACTTATTTATGAGGAGAGAGAAGGGAGTTTCATCCCATAAAACCCACTTAGCACAGCTACCAAGTTTCATGAAACCCAATGAAACTTGCACTGAGCATGTTATAGTTTCATGGCATGATGCATTTGGTCATAGGACAACACAAAAAATAAATGATTTAGGCTATCTATAAAATTGTGCAATGAAACCATGCACTGAAGGTAACAATTTTTTTCATTGAAAAGCTGACATGGTACTCTGGGTAATAGTGCGATAAAACCATGCATTGAGACTGGCCTAGCATCGAAGATACAGGAGATTAGGAGACACTGCGATTACTGTGTATCACTCCATTTGAGATAGGAGATTTAGGAGATACCGCGAGTCGTGCAGGCAGCTACCCGCGAATGCTGAATAGCAACATTGAGCCCTTGTTGGGTGAATTTGGATTTTGGGGCTACTGTAGCACGTTCGTTTTTATTTGGCAAATAGTGTTCATGGACTAATTAGGCTCAAAACGTTCGTATCGCAATTTCTCACCAAACTGTGCAATTAGTTTTTATTTTCATCTACATTTAATGCTCCATGCACGAGCCGCAAACATTCGATGTGACAGGTACTATAGCAACTTTTTGGACTTTGGGGTCCAACTAAACAGGCGTGATGCGTCCAAGATTTGGATTCTTGGTCTGATTGGACATGTTTTTTTATGAAGCTCTGATTGGACATGTTGACCTCAGAAACTGAAACACAGTACCAGTACTCCTGCGAACAACAGGCCTATCTTCCTTGAGCAATCATGATGGCGACACTCGAGCAAAGTGAAGCTCTCGTCCGGTCAGGCACTCAGGCCTCTCCTCCTCTCATCTCTGCAGGATCAGGTTGGATGCATATCAGAAAAGGAGCATGATCGCAGCTGGATACGAACGGCTATTTTTGTGATGGAGCACAGGAGTAGCTCAAGCTAGAGTCCGGGCTAGTGCTTGTCGTTGTGGAGCTGTGGAGCTGGGAGCTGGGAGCTGCGTTCTCTGCATTTCTCTCCTCAGCAAGGCGAAGTGTGACTATGACCGGCTGAGGCTTTGGGTTGTTTGGATGTCAGTTTTGGCCATTACTAGGGGCAGGTGACATTGGAACCAGGGAATGTGAGCTCAGCACTGCCTGATAGTGATAGGGCCTGTCAACATTGAGAAAAATTTATAACCGATAAATAGTATCATTTTCGTCTTATTTGACAAACTTTGTCCAATCGTAGACCAACTAGGCTCAAAAGATTCATCTCGTGATTTCCAACTAAACTGTGTAATTAGTTATTTTTTTACCTACATTTAATGCTCCATACAAACGTCCAAAAATTGATGTGATGGAGAGAGAGTGAAAAAACTTAGAACTTTGAAGGGAACTAAACAACGCCAGGGCTTGTCAACATCCTCCTCTTCCTTGCAAGGAGTTATTACGTGCAGGATAATGATGAGCATGCAACTCTGCTAGATTTGCAGAGAATCAGTTAGATTTCATGTCAAGAGTAAAAACCTCGAGATGGATGCCTTCTCAGATCAATCCATCAGCAGTTTGACTTCATCTTTAGACTCGTTCAGTCAAATTTGAAATTCATCACAGATATACCATCAGCAGGGCGTGGTATTGCAGGTAGCAGTTTCAAAGGTGAGATTAAGAAAAAAGGTTTTTTTTTTTTTTGATCGGAAAAAAGACATTGTTTGATTTCTCTCCATAACCACTAACCAAACTTCAGTGACTTCGCAAGCATCTGCACAATCCCAAAAAGCACTGGATAATTCAGCAGGGACGTTGGTGCAATCTGACAGAACAACACTAGAGCACTGACCGTAACTGCATCAGTCGTAAATTATACTCTCACTTGAACCACACTCATCTGATAGCCTGCTACCACCTTATTGGACTTCAGATAAATAGCAGTGCGTACGCAACTCACACCATTTTGGTTGGTTCATACTCCTCCTTAAATATATGGCACCGTTGACTTTTTTCATTTATTTGACTATTCGTCTTTTCTACAAATATTTTTGCAAATAGATAAACCTACAAATTAAATCTAAAGTGCATTTGACAATAGACATAATGATACACATTTTACTTTAGTTAACTAACTCGTTCAATAGATATTGGTGGTCAAAGTTGGAATAAAAAGTCAACGGTGTCATATATTTAAGAATGGAGGGAGTAGTAGTGACCTGTTAGTGATTGGTCATAAGTTATCCTTTTATAAGCAGGGCGCAAACGAAGATACCAAAATGCCAGCTAGTTGACCTCTTCTTCATCGAGCTAAATAAATAAATCCAAACAGGTACTATCAACTGTAATTTTCTCCTCCTTTTCAGATACCAGAGGGTGCACAGAAATTCAGATAACTGAGGATACACAGAGATGACCACTCGTGTACCTAGACTTTTTCTTCTTATACATGCCCAAATCTGTATGATCGTTTCATGTGTCTCAAGTGTCGTATCTGTATGATCGTTTCAATCAAGAGTAACATTTTACAACAAATATCTCACCGATTATAACCAATTTGAACCATCTAATCAACACAAAATTGAGCTGCATTTCCCTTTAAAACCTGAGCTAAGTTTCCCAAATTAGACACATCTATCTCAAACTCTCATTCCCTTTGAACTGCCCCTAGTTTACAGCCTTTTCCTCTGGCTAAACACCTCTATCAATCAAGTTTGAGAATTGTACAAAAGCACAATAATAGTATAACGCACAAGAGAAACAATCATCAGTACGACTTCACCATCAGCACCTTGAATTGGCAAAAACATAACCCCTCCTTGTAGCAAATATTTTTTCATACACATTTTCAGATAGTTAACACCAGGTTCATTACATTTCCATTGCGCTTAATTTACATTTTCTCGATATCCAATCCAGTATACAATTGTGGTGTACCAAATACATGAACAAGAACTGTTACAACCAATTTGATCAATTCTTCTTGATCAACACAAAATTGAGCTACATTTCCCCCTCTTCCTCACATGGTCCTCAATCTGTAACATCTAGACAGTCTCTCCTTCCCTTTGAATTGACATAATCTCCACATTTCTCTCTGCCTAAACACCCCTATCAGTCAAATTATAAAAATTGTACAACAAACACATTACACTAGCTAACAATTACAGGTTACTGACCTCACCGGTCACCAATAGAGCTTCACTGGCGGCATCTTGAAGCCCGGCGCCTCGTCGAGGAATGGCACAGCCTCCGGCCGCGCCTGGAGGTCGCGGTAGAACTGGTACTCGGCCTCGTAGTCGTGCAGGTCGAGCTCCTTCTTCTGGTTGGTGTGGTAATGGTGCTTGGCTCCCGCCGCCTTCCCGAACCCGAACAGGCTCACCTCGTCGCAGGCCCCCAGGGCCATCACCACCGCCTGCAGCCCCAAGGAGTAGTGGAAGTACCTCTCGTCGTGCCTCCGCGTCCAGTTACCCGGCGGCTCCCTAGTTGTGGAGACGAACCGCCGCATCGAGTAGTACTTGGTGATGCGCGCGCACAGCGCGTCGAGGCACGCGTTGGTGACGAGCAGCGGGAATGGGGACGCCGGCGTGGCGGTGGCGTTGCAGATGAGCGCGCCAAGGAGGTGCGCCTGTTAGATTGATCTCTAATCCTGACTAGACCCAACGGCACAGTTGGGCCTTTGATTCGCGCCCTGATCGGGGGCGCCCAGCCCACTATGGCTGGAGGGCCCCTGTCACACTGCACTATAAAAAGAGGTGGGGGCCGGTGACTCTGATCATGAGGTTGACCTGAGCCGTGCTCCCCACCGACACATAAACCCTAATCCGATCAGAGAGGGGCGCAGCCAGTGACGGGAAGCCACCAGCCGGCGCCGCCCGCTCCATCGACATTGACGTCTTCATCACCCTCTTCATCGACCGTCGCTACCCGTGCGCAGACTACACCGACGAACGTGATGGCGTCCTCTGAACCCTCCCCCTCTGCGGTGTCAGGTTCGACAACCCTTGTCCATCCTCTCTGTGTCCATGTCTCTCTGTCTAGAATGTGTCCTAGGTTTTGGTTCATCCAATAGCGAGTAGCCCCTCGGATCTACCCCTAGTACGATTAGATTCTTAACAATGGTATCAAAGCGAGTTTGCAAGGTGTAGATCACGGCAGAGGCTAGAAACCGATTAGAAAAGGAAGTAGAAGGTTAGATCCAGTGCGGGTCTAAGAAGAACAGAGGGTTCGGTGTAACTCTAACCCTAATTGGGTGAAAGAAAGAAGAGAAGGAGGGCTCGGCACGCGATGCTGAACCCTAAAATCCGTAGAGTCCCTCTAGGGAAGAAGAACAGTGCCCATCCCGAAACCCTAACCCTAATTTTTGACCCCATCCCCAAATCGGGTTAATCCCAGAAGAAAGAAGGGGAAAGGGAGAAGAGGAAGAGCCGTTTTGGCTTACCTCGCCGCTGCGCAGTGCTGCTACCTCGCCGGAGCACGAGGAGAAGAAAGAGCTGAGCCGGGGAGCTGCTCGTCGGGCTCAGCCAAGGGGGCGCCGTGGCCAGGCCACTCGACGACGACGGCGCCATGGCTGCCCGCTCCACTGCTTCGCTCGCTCGGTGCACTCGCTGTGGTTGAGAGAGTGACAGAGAGAATGAGAGGCGCGAATGAGGGTTAGGGTTCGGGAGGAGGCCAGCGTCGGCGATTTTGTTCACCTGATCTCACCGCTCGGCCGTCCGATTGAATCCAATAGCGCCCGGATGCTGCGGGCGCATCAGCGACCCAGCGCACCGAGCCGCATACAGCGGTTTTGCCCCAGCCCAGAGTTCTGGCTGAGTGCGACGGCAGCCAGAGAAGTGTGGGCAGTGGTTTTTTCCTTCTTTGGGGCAATAAACAAGATCTTGAAATGAGTCATTTTTTGTTTTTGTTTTTCCAGTAAATATTTATTTCCTAAAAAATAGATAAATGACTTAAAGAAAATAGAAAAGAGAATTTTCATGTGGGTAAAATTCACTAAATTGAGATTATTTTTCCGCTGCGTATTTAAAGTTGTTATTTTCATTATTAAATTCGAACGAACGAGATAATTTAATTTTGAAAAATGGATATGTTTTTAGCGTATTATAATATTGTTGTTATTCTGACCAACGTTGATTAATGGCAATATTGTGATGAGTTTTGTCATGCATTAATTCTATTTCTACCCAATGGTGATGTAGAATTAGTGTAGAGGACAATTGTATGTTTTAATTTTGACCAACGGTAGAACTAAGAAATGCAATTGTTATTGTTATTATTTATGTTCTCACTCAATATGAATTGTGTTTTCAGGCGGATACAACTTGATGGGTTGTATCAAAGAGATCCCCACTCTCAAAGGCGATAACTACATGGAGTGGAAGAAAAAGATTGACCTGGCCTTCATCTTGGCTGAGGTGGACTAGGTAGTCACCTCACCGTGTTTCACAGAGCCTGTGGCACCGGTGAGGGAGACAAATGAGGCTGATGCCGCTTGGGCAACCAGAGAGAGGGATTTTGCATCTCAAAAGATGTCCTATGACCTTGAGTATAGGAAGTGAGTCACTGCCAACAAAAAATGTTTGGCTGTGATAAAGAACACGATTGAGCCTGCAATTGTGGACTCAATCCCAGAGTGTGACACGGTCATCGAGTACCTTGATAGAATAAATAGTCAGTTCACTGGCTCTTCAAAGACATATGCTACCCAGCTGATAAAGCAGCTAGTGACAGAGAGGTACTCTGGTAATGGTGGCATAAGAGAGCACATACTAAGGATGAGCAGTTTTGCATCAAAGCTAAAACCAATAGATCTGGCTCTCAAGGAAGAGTTCCTTATCCATCTGATTTTTGCTTTCTTGCCAAAAGAGTTTGACACTTTTGTTGTCAACTACAACATACAGCCCGAGAAGTGGGACATGGAGAGGCTCATGGCTATGTGTGTGCAAGAGGAGAGAATGAAAGCTGCCAATGGTGGCACTATCAATTATCTTAAAGACAACAAGAAAAAGAATACTAATGCTAACTCCTCCTCAAAGTCAAAGGGAAAGGGTCCCATGCTGCATCAGCCTTAGTAGAACAAGTTCACAGTAGAGAAAGACCAGTGTCTCTATTGCAAGAAGACGGAACATTATAAGAAAGATTGTTCCGATTACTTAAAGATGATCATAGCAAAGAAAGATGAGAACATTATTACGTTCATAAATGAATTCCTGTATGTACAGTATTCGAAATCTACTTGGTGGATTGACTTAGGTGCAACTGTTTATGTTGCTAATTCTTTACAGGGATTCCGTTCGACGAGGACTACGCAAAGAAGCGAAAGACACGTTAAAGTTGTAAATAGAGTCCGAGCAGATGTTGAAGCCGTTGACGATCTTTCTCTAAAGGTTGCTGATGGTTTCACACTTTTACTTAGAGATATACTATATGTTCCCTCCCTATAGAGAAACTTGATTAGTGTTTCATGCTTGGACAATGATGGATATGATTGCCATTTTGGAAATGACAAATGTAAGATAACATTTAATAATGCTTATGTTGGTCTTGCTATCTTATAAAATGAGCTTTATTTGTTATCACTACGTGATGATGTGAATGTTGTATGCGATGATGGGAACATTGCGTGCGATAATGAGAATGTATCCTCGTCTGTGGATGTAAACAGAAAACGAAAGAGAGCTCACGATGCGTTGTCAAAATTATGGCACTGTCGTTTAGACCATATTTCGAGGGGGAGAATAGAAAGGCTAGTTAAGAATGATATTCTTCCTTCATTAGAGCTCTCAGATTTAGAACAATACAGAGAATGCATAAAAGGAAAGTATGTAAAGAAAATTAAGAAAGATGTCAAACGAAGCGCAGGAATTCTATAGATTATTCACACAGACATATGTGGTCCGTTTCCTGTAAAGAGTGTGGATGGTTATGATTCATTCATAACATTTACAGATGATTACTCCTGTTATTGCTATATTTATCCAATCAAAGAAAGAACATAAGCATTGGATAAATTTAAGATATTTAAGGCAGAAGCTGAAAACCAACACGATTTAAAGATTAAGATAGTCAGGTCCGATCGTGGGGGGGAGTACTACGGTCGGCATACCCCATATGGCCAAGTTCCTGGACCTTTTGCATGGTTCTTACAGGAGAATAGCATAGTAGCCCAGTATTCTACACCGGGCGAACCTCAGCAGAATGGAGTAGCTGAAAGACGCAATCGTACCCTGATGGATATGATGCGTAGTATGATAAGTTACTCCACCTTACCGTTGAGCCTGTGGATGGAGGCATTAAAAACCATCATTTATATTCTCAATAGAGTACCAAGTAAGTCGGTGCCCAAAACACCGTATGAGTTGTGGACAGGAAGAGTACCCTCACTAAACCACTTACGTGTGGGGGAGAGTCCTGCTGAGGCTAAAGTATTTAACCCAAATATTGGGAAGCTAGACCCCAAAACAGTGAGTTGCCATTTCATTGGCTACCTAGAAAAATCAAAAGGTTTTCGTTTGTACTGTCCAAACAAACATACAAAGTTTGTGGAAACGAGACACGCTGTCTTCCTGGAGGATGAAATGATGAGGGGGGAGCATGGTAGCTCAAGAAATTGACCTTAAAGAGAAGCGGGTGTATGCACCCACTCCGATGATTCATGAGCCATTTTTCTCACTACCTGCTGTCGCTGCACCAACAGTGCAAGATACTGTGGTGCCAGCACCTGTTGTTATTCCGCCTGTGGCAACAATGAATGACGATGAGGAACCTGTTCTTCAGGATCCTGTAGAACCTATTGCCACACATAAGGGGGAGTAACAACAGCCTCAAACAGAAGATGTGCCAAATGTGGAGGCCTCTAGAAGGTCTTAAAGAGTTAAAAAATCAGTTATTCCTACTGACTATGAAGTATACAACACTGAGGAATTTCAAATGGAGGATGATCCCACCTCATTTGAAAAAGCCATGAGAAGTGATCATTCATCAAAGTGGCTTGAGGTCATAGAAGATGAAATAAAATCTATGAATGCCAATAAAGTTTAGGACTTAGAAATAATTCCTAAAGGAGCCAAAACAGTAGGCTGTAAATGGGTCTACAAAACAAAACTTGACTCTCAAGGGAATATAGAAAGATATAAAGCGTGACTTGTGGCAAAAGGCTTTACGCAAAGAGAAGGGATTGATTACAATGAGACATTTTCTCCAGTCTCATATAAAGATTCCTTCAGAATCATAATGACATTAGTGGCACATTACGATTTAGAATTACATCAACTGGATGTAAAGATGGCATTTCTCAACGGGGACTTGGAGGAAAATGTTTACATGTCACAATCGAAGGGTTTTGTCATGGAAGGAAAAGAATGAATGAGATGCCACCTAAAGAAATCCATTTATGGATTAAAACAAGCTTCAAGACAGTGGTACTTGAAATTTGATCAGACAATAAGGAATTTTGGGTTTAAAGAGAATGTTGAGGATAATTGTGTCTATGCAAAGTTTAAGAATGAGAAGTTTATCTTCCTTGTCCTGTATGTGGACGATATCTTACTTGCTAGTAGTGATGTCAGTCTACTACTGGAGACAAAGAAGTTTTTGTCCTTAAAATTTAATATGGAAGATCTTGGTGAAGCTTCGTTCATTCTAGGGATCGAGATTCACCGAGATAGAAGTAAAGGGGTATTAGGACTGTCATAAAAGGCATACATTAAAAGAATCTTAAAGAAATTCAGTATGTACAAATATAGTCCCTCACCTGCTCCTATAGTCAAGGACGACAGATATGGGGATTTTCAATGCCCCAGGAACCAATATGAGATCGATCAAATGAAAGCGGTTCCATATGCTTCATCTGTTGGAAGCTTGCAATATGCTCAAGTATGTACGCGCCCTGACTTGGCATTTGTTATCATGTTACTTGGCAGATTCCAGAGAAATCCTAGAACAGAACACTGGAAATTAGTAAAGAAAGTCTGGCGTTATTTACAAGGAACGAAAGGCCTCATGATGGTGTATAGAAGATCTGATTCACTCCATATGGTGGGATATTCAGATTCTGATTATGCGGGAGATGATAGAAAATCCACGTCTGGATATGTATTCACTCTCGCAGGGGGAGCTATTTCATGAAAAAGCTTAAAGCAAACCGTCACTACATCGTCCACAATGTATGCCGAGTTTGTAGTGTGTTATGAGGCAATGGGGCAGGTGAACTGGCTAAAGAAGTTCATACCCTGTTTGAAGGTGGTTGACGATATCTATAGACCACTTAAGTTATACTGCGATAATAATCCGACAGTACAGTATTCTCACAACAATAAGTCAAGTGGTGCTGCCAAACACATTGACATAAAGTATTATGTTGTGAAAGATAAAGTCCGGGATCATGTCATAAGTCTTGAGCATATAAGTATCGAAAAGATGCTCGCGGATCTACTTACAAAAGGCTTACACCCAACGTGTTCAGAGAACATGTAGCCTGCATGGGTTTAAGGAAAAGCCTATAATTCCTGGACAAAAGAAGGCCCAAAGTTAAGTATCTATTTCAGAACAGAGTGGTGTGTTGTGGCTGTTAAATCTATCAGCAATTGACCGTGACGATGAGACATGCTCTATGCGCTAATCTATAATGGAATGAACAAAAGTAAATGATATAAAAATGAAAGATGGAAGGAGATCAAGGGAGAGATTGTTAGATTGATCTCTAATCCTAACTGGACCCAACGACCCAGTTGGGCATTTGATTCGCGCACTGATCGGGGGCGCCTAGCCCACCATGGCTGGAGGGCCCCTGTCACACTGCGCTATAAAAAGAGGTGGGGGCCGGCGGCTCTGATCATGAGGTTGACCTGAGCCGTGCTCCCCACCGACACCTAAACCCTAATCCGATCAGAGAGGGGCGCAGCCAGTGACCGGAAGCCACCAGCCGCCGCCGCCCGCTCCATCGACATCGACGTCTTCATCGCCCTCTTCATCGACCGTCGCTGCCCGTGCGCAGACTACACCAACAAACGTGATGGCGTCCTCTGAACTCTCCCCCTCTGCGGTGTCAAGTTCAACAGCCCTTGTCCATCCTCTCTATGTCCATGTCTCTCTGTCTAGAACGTGTCCTAGGTTTTGGTTCATCCAATAGCGAGTAGCCCCTCGGATCTACCCCTAGTACAATTAGATTCTTAACAGCGCCAGCTGGCAAACGTACATGGCCATGGGGACCATAAGGCCGTAGGGGTGGAAGGAGCAGCCGGGGGTGGTGATTGCAGAGCGGACGACGCAGTAGTGGAGGATGTTGGAGTTGACGAAGGAGATGGAGGTCTTGGCGCCGATGTCGGTGGCATATCCCGTGACGCAGGCGTTGTTGAGGTGGATGACGAGGTCGTGTGCCTCGATCTACGTGCCCCGGCCGAAGCCGAGGAGGATGCCGCTGTTCCCTACGACGGCGCAGGTGGGGAAGCGCCATGGGCGGCCGAGTTGGCCAGTGAGTTCGCCCATGATGCCGGCGACATCGCCGCCCCGACGGTGACGGTGCGCGAGGAGGGAGGCGCGGAAGGCGGCGAGGAGGGACTCGTCGCTGGGGAGCGTGTCGAAGGGGACGCGGAGGCGGGAGACGACCCGCTGCCGCGGGGCGGAGGTGGTGTTGCTGTGGTAAGGGAGGCGGAGGTAGAGGATGCGGTGGTGGTTGCCGAGGCTGGGGAAAGAGGATACCGAGGCGTTGGCGAAGAGCGCGGCCGCCTCGGCCACAACCTGGTCCCCGTCGACGTCGGTGGTGGCGAGCCAGCGGAGGAGCGCGGCGGCGGCGTACGGGGATGGGCCTCGGGGGAGAAACATGTGGCGGCGGAAGGAGAGGGAGAGGAGTGAGAGCGTGAGGAGGAGGAGGAGGACCGGCGGGAGATGGCGGCGCTTCATCTCTGGCGGTGCTGTTGCCGAGATCCGGCTACCATTTAGTAGGGTCGTGGTGGGGGTAAACCGGAGCCGCCGACGCGGGGAGTGAGAGGTGAGGTGGGGGAGAAAGCTCGGGAACGGTGGGACCTATACAGCTGGGAAGATGTGATCTGGTGGGCTGAGCGGGATGGGGGACTGGCATGTGGGTCCTAGATAGAGACGGGCCGACGTGTCAGCGGGTGGGTGGGTAGCTCGTTAGTTAGGTAACGGTGTTGCTACAGTGATGGGTTGGTTTGGCTGCGATGCACTCTTTGACTGCTCCAAAAGTGGACATGGAGTGCGAACGGGCGAACGGCAATTAGCCATAGAACTCAACTGACCAATACAAGCTGCGTGAAGAAGGGAAAAAGGCGCTCGAAAATGCATATACTTCAGTTTGGAAATCAGCAAAACTACTCATAGCAAATACATTGCTACACCTGAACAGTCTCGTAAGTCGTCTCATACAATGTCACGTAGGATTTTTTGCTGACGTGAAAGAGAGGGTGAGAAAGAGAAAAAGGTCGTTGTTTCGTGAAGTAAAGGTTATGTTTTAGGATTATAAGATGACTACTGCACCATTGTATGAGTTGTGGTTCTTTTTTTATATGCATAAATTTAGAAAATAAATATTTCTTTTTTACTCCATTTTTGACTCGCTTGTACGGTCGAAGTAAGGTAAAATGATTGCAAACTACATATGATTTTAGAACTTAAATTTACCTATATGTTAGTCCAAGTAAAACTCCTGCGACAATGCTTGCATACATTGTACCACCAGACCCAATTATTTGCCTAGCTACTTAATCCTATATTGAACTATTAATGAGGGAACTCATGAACATAAGGCTGCTTCACTGCTCCAAATAAAGCTCCTACAAAATGCAGAAGCTGACCCGCTTCTTTGTGTTTGAATCTCTTCAGTTGAGTACTGTTGTATAATTAGGATAAACATGACACATCCATCTAAACTGAGCTTTATCCTAATTATAATTTTAGAGCTAATTTTTTGGTTCTCGTTGATTTGAATGGCAACCAGGACAATGTACAGGGCAGCAGTTTTGGGGAGCATGTGAGTTCACGTAGATGATAATCAAGGCGAGTACTGATATGTAATGTCTAAAGCATCTGTATTTAGAATAAAATGTTACAGTCACCTTGCTGTGAGATGCCTATGCAATTCTTTTTTATGCTGCATGGGAACCATACAAGATTTGTGCTTAGACATACATAGAACTTTTGGGGTCAGTGATAGGTTGTTCGAATGATTAGTTCACCATAAGGATTTTTGTTAGTTTCATTAGTCTACGCTATTACTGTGTAACACGTGTTCCAAAAAGCATAAATCTTACCACTAAATTAGATCTATTCAGTTGCTGCATTGCTATAAAGAAATTATGATCAAGCACTACAATTTTATTCTGTGCAATTACTCATCTAGAATACATTTAATTGATGTTATTGAAATGCCAAAACTTACCTTCATTATCTTTTTCTATTTAAATTCTGAATGTAATTGCAGGTACACTTTGTGCGGTATATTTTAGCTTCAATGAAATTTAGATGAATTTTGCATTTCGTTGGATGCCCACCCAAACGACAGTTCAAGCTGGGCTCAAGGCCCATTTATAAATTGTGGAAGCCCAATAGCACGTTGGCATCCTAGCACAAGGCCCAACAATCAATCAAAGTATGGGATATTTACATGCCACAACCAATATATGAATATTGCTCTGAAGAATAACATATGTATACTTTTAAATTTAATAAACTGCTACTCAAGCCAGTAAAGACACTGTAGTCTTCCCTTTGCTTTATTCACATCTTGTTCTTGCTTCTGTTGCAAGCCGGGTTGGCCGCAAGGCTGGTGATCCACACCTGGTCCGCGACCACCGGTTGGTTGTCGTCGTTCCGGTGCCACGTCCACAGCGCGTGCGTGGCATTCACCACCTCCAGCCGCCTGTGCCCGAAGCTCGCCTCCCGGAACGCCGAGATCGCCGGCTGCGGGTTCACGTACTTCTTCGCCAGCCCCTCCCGGTTGCCGCCGTCGCCGACGGTGACGTACACCGGCCCTCAGGGGGCCTCCTTGCCGCCGTACACCCGCGCGAACCTCTCGTACGCGTGCACGTGCCCCGCGAACACGGCGTCCACGCGCGCACCGTACAGGAGCTCCTCCATGGCGCCGCGCATGGCGTCCCCTTCTCCCCGGTGCGCCCTGTTGCTGTTGTACCACGGCGCGTGCACCAGTGCCACCACGAACGCCATCCTGCCGCGGTCGATCGCCGCCAGGTAGCGCCGGAGCCACTGGTGCTGCGCGCTGCCGGCGGCGTAGTCGGTGTAGGAGCCCAGCATGATGACGTGCACGGCGCCGCCGGCGACGTCGAAGGAGTAGTAGAGGTTGTCGCCCGAGGGCGAGGCGCCGGCGTCGTACGGCATGCGCCACCGCGCGTTGTAGGCCTTGAAGGGCTTCACGAAGGGAAGCTTCTCGACCTCGTGGTTGCCCTCGGTCACCATCCACGGCCGCGCACTCGCCAGCGGCTCGACGAGGCGGCCGTACGAGTCCCACCGCGACTGGATGTAGTCAGCGTACGAGAGGTCGCCGGGGAGGAGGAGCATGTCGTAGTCGGCGGCCGCGATGTGCTTCAGCGTGGACGCCGTCCATCCGGTTTGGCCAAGGTCGCCTGCCACATTATCAATAATGTTCATCATCAAGACCACAATGATGTGCCAACGACATGGCGACATTATATTTGCAAGAAGCTCTTGCAGTGAAAATAGCAGAGTAACAGGTGCATTACCGACGACGACGAACTTGAAAGGGAGGGTGGCCGGCGGCGTCCGGAAGGAGAACTCGCGCGATGGGTTAGAGCTGCACCGGTAGTAGTATGTCGTGCTGGGCTGCAGCGGGCCGATGACGGCGTCGTGGATGTTCCCGGAGTGGTAGAGGACGTAGGAGTAGGTCATCGTGCTTCCGGTGGCGGAGAGCGGGTAATTGCCTGACGTCGTGCCATACTCGACGATCGCCGGCGCGTCGTCGTGGGTGATCCATGTCACCCTCATCTTGTCGGGCCCGACCATTGATATATGCACCTGAATGAAATTTGCACAAAGTTTTTGTAAGTGGCCAATTTTATTTCTCCTGTAACATTAGCATAGCACGTTTGCAGTGATGGTTTTCACACGGACCATATCAAACACTTTGCCGTGTATAATGATCGCATGTTTGGTCATGCATGCTGTGCTTCCAATTTCCAACGGATCGAGGAGAAGATAGTGAAGAGTAGATCGAGGTTGCCATGACTGCAGCACTAGCCGTGTGCGATTGATTGCACCATCAGCAACACTAACCGAAAGCTGCTTTTCATGGGTAGCCCATGATTAGCGACAAGAAACACCAAAGCACATAGTAGGCCAAACGGCATGCCGACATTGCCAGAAACAATAAAAACAAGGATGATGGGGATGAAAGGGAAAGCAAGAAACCAAAAATCCCCAAAGGAGCGTCCTGTCTGTTCTCCCCGGTGGTAGCTCGGAGGGGGGCGTCCTAGGGACCATCCTGCACCGTCTCGTGCACTTTGGTCTAGTTTGGTTCCCCCACCCGCACCATATGCCCGCACCCCCTCTTTCACTTGCCCCCTCCCATTCCGCATCCCTCCGTCTGCCGAAATCTTCCTTCCCTCGCGAGCCGGGATGAGCGAAGCAAGGCGGGAAGATTTGGGGCGAGCGCGGGGGATGGCACCACCCTGGGGATAAAGGCGCGAGAGGCTAGGGTTACCGTCCCGTTCCCGCGCCACTCCCTTCACTCCCCTCCATTTCCCTGGTGCGCCTTCTCCTCTTCCTCCCCTTCTTCGACCTTGGTTCGCCGGTCAGCACAACACCATGGCTCCATATCATCATTGTGGTGGAGCTTTTTATTATTCTAGGGATGCTTGTAGCAATTAGTTTCCTTTGGAAATAATTTATGTACAACAATCTTTGTAAGACAGCTAGGCTAAACACAACACTTTATTTGCTCATGCTACTCAACATTGGTGGTAACCTCACCAAAATGGTCCTGAGATGTTCTGAACATCTGCTATTCATTCTACCAAACAAGACCTCTTGTACCAACTCATACACGAAAACGGTCCATCCAATTTAACCAAACAGCAGCTTGGCTCATTCAGCCAAAGTAACGCAAGTACATCAGGCCATCCCGCCTCCCGCTGACGTTACCACCCCTCCATCATGTATGCCTCACCCCTTTGCGACCAATCAAGCCCTAGGTAGCCCTTACCGTGTCGTGCGGTCGTGCCAGTGAACTAAACAACGGCAAATTAAATTGTTGGTATACGACGATGCAATCAAATCGTCGCTCTCGCTCCTAGTGTGAATCCAGCGTATTCAACTATATGCTCATACTCCTGTCCTACTAGGTAATCAAACAGTAATATAATCCTGAACTGAAATTCCTTCCTACACTGAAGTACTGAACTCCTTCCCTAGTACATTGTATTCGTGAACAACAACAGAGACGCCACACTGTGCCACATGACGCGGCAGATTAGACCAAGGTTTTCTAGTTTGGTACTGGGATAGGGTAGGATATTTTTTTTTCTCGAACGTGCCGTGTAGCACGTATTTCATTAAGGAAGTAGATAACACCGAACCAAACAACAACGACTGGCCGGTAATCCTAAAATTACCAGCACAATTCCATAAACACAAACGATACAGCAAGAAAGCACCGGGGGTAGGGCCTCCACCACCAAACCCTTACAGACTGAGCCTATTACAGGAAGACAAAACACATTGGTAGCCTAAGGTGTAGTGTAGCTGCGCTAGCCAAGCATCCACCAAAGGAAGCCAAGGGAGCCGACACGACAACATGCGCAAAGCATCCGCACAAGAAACGACCACGACGGCCAAGCATCCGCCGGAAAAAGGACCATTACGGCAAAGCATCACATAACGAGGGCCATCACACGCTCGATGAGCTGAATGAGCGTGGAGACCGAAGCGACGAGGTGGCCAAGCATCCACCCAAGCGACAATAAATGCAAAGCATCCGCCAACGAACCGAACGACGGCGGCAACAACAAACACCGAAGGACAAACCAATGTGAAGATAGAGTTGAAGCACGAGATAGGCAAAGTAGAGCGAGCAACAACACCGACGGTCCGGCCACAGGACCGCCCGCCCCATGCCGCGGCGGCGGTGAAGCAGCAGACACCTCTTGGCCTTCAATAAGCGACCTCTTGGCCTTGAGGAAGCGGCCGGGTTCCTCCAAATCCACGCCACCATGGCGCCAGCGGTTGGCTATTGCCACCCACACCACCACGGCGTCACTGGCACTCATCCAAGCAAGCCGTTGTCGGCCATGCCACCACGGCACAACCGCGCTGCTGCGCAGTCGGTCGGAGTGGGAAAACACCATGACAACGCCTCCAAGGAGGGAGACGACGCGCCCGAAGGCGTCGCCGTCGTCTTGCTTAAACAGATCCGACATGAAAGCTTTCGCGGTGCTCGCCCACATCGAGCACAACAAAACGAGGAGTCTTGAAGGCACGCCACCCCTGCCCTCCACCGCTTGACTATACATGCATGCACAACACGAGATGGAGCGACTTGGCGAGAACAACGGGGATCGGGCGGAGTGCATCAACGAAGCCATCAAGAAGGGAATGACATCCACGGACGCCAACCGTTGGGAGAAGCATCAAGAGGATTAACGTCCCCAAGCTTGCCCAAAGACTAACGGCGAACACTTCACCGCCCCGACACCACCAGCCACAAGCGCCAACCGCGAAGTCCGACAATCACCCCCACACCGCCACCACCCACTCGCACCACGGGCTCGGGGAGCCATGATGCAGACAAGGAGAGGATGCCGCCACCACCCGCAGCAGTGGCCCGACCCGGACCAGGGAGGGCGGATCCGCCCCACCGGCCACCTACCGCCCGGAGATAGCGAGGCGCCTGAAGCTCCCAAGCGCCCCCCAAAGCACGGCGGTTCTTTGGAGCGGGGAGGAACCGCGCCCGAAAAGGGGGGCCACCATCCATGGTGGCGAGATCCGGACCAGGAGGCGGATTCGGCACCACCGGCCGCCAGAGGCAGCGGGGCGGAGCAGCCCATGCACGCCCCCGCGCGCACGAAGGACGCCGGACCGGGAGGAGCAGCGCCGACGAGGGGGGAGGCCGCCGACCACCGTGAGAGGCCAGATCCGTGACCGGGGGAGGCGGATCCGCCCTGCCATGGCCGGCCAGCCCACCGGAGTGGCGTGGACCGAGGAGGGATGGTGGAGTAACGGGAGAGGGAGGAAGAGGGCTGCGACGGTTGCCGGTTGTGCGGGCCGCCGCCGCTTCACGCTGGAGGGAGGCGGCGGCGGCCAGAGAGGGGCAGGAGCGGGGCGCTGGGGCTGCGCCGGCGAGTGCCCCCGAGTCGCCCGTTGGGGGCACTCGGGAGAGGGAGAGGACTTCTTTTAGGGTAGGATATTCTTCTTGGACTCTTTTTCTTTCGATCTTGCACCAGACGTACACAGTTTCTCTTGCTGATCTCAGATATAGATGTCACCGGTAACGCACGCAACCGCATTGACCATGCAAACGAAATCGCGACGAACTCTGGTGTCTGATGATGCAGAAAAATTCGCTGTGGCATGGTGTTTCAGAAAAAAGCCTGAGCCCCGAGGCTGTTGGAAGGGACAGCAAATTAGCGGTGTAGTACCTGCTGCGGCGTCTGGCCGTCGGCGGCGGCGTCGTCCCGGAGCACGGGCAGCGTGGCCCTCGGCGCCGGCCGCACGTACGGCGAGGTGACGGCGAGGGACGCCGGGAACAGGGACAGCGCGGAGGCGGCGAGGACGACGACGAGGAGCGCCATCAGCGCCATGCTGCTTGTTGCCATGGCCGTTGCCACCACTCACCACAAGCTGCTCGAGGTTGCCTGAATGAATAATCTAGACAGCTTGGAGGAGGATGCAGGCTGAAATGGGGGTTTATATAGACATACGGCGGGGCTACGCACACTGCACGGAGGCGAGGCGGCCAGCTCGGTGCATCATATATATATATATATATCTCACAAATTAATGAGCTATACTCTGGATTATCTATATCTATCTATCAAACTGCCTGCCAAACAGGAATCTGGCATTTGGATATGCTGTGTTTTGGTCAAATCTGGGTGACGTGTGAGTGTTTAGTACTAATGTTTTGGACATCCGAAGAAGGAACATGGAGGTTGGAGAGACAGAGGTTGAGTGCAGGCACAGGAACCGATGGACGGGCGGGGCAGTGTTCGGCTGGACTGAAAGCCGGCTTGTTTGTTTTTTTTTTTTTCAGTCGGAGCCGTGTTTTTATCTATTCCAGTATAAACAGTGTTTTCAGCATAAACATTAAAAAAATCAGTCGATGAGTGTTTTTGTTGCAGGGGTCACGGAGGAGAAGGTGATGTCACTCGCGTTTGTGGCCAGCTACGTGTACATCCATCTCCATCAAAATCCTTTTCTTTGAAGATGTCCAAGATGACAGTCAACGACGTCGTAATCTGTTTGCGACACCGGTATTATTAGCCGGAGGGTTCCAGGCAACACTTGTTCAATCAAGTCTCCCTCTGACCCTCTCTCTCTGAACGTGTTTTTACACCTAAAAAAATTGTGGTTTTTTTTTAAGGGGGGGAGACACTCTTTGAAGGTGTGCTTTTCATAACAAGGCTTTATTAATTTTGCAAATTGCAACCAAGAACCTTTTATCCCGTGTGCTGATCGGAGATCAAAATCCAATCTGAATCGGATGGACGATTCATCTTCTATTTAAGGTCAGGGGCCCAACAGACTGTTCAACAGAGTTACAGGGCAGAGCCAGAGAATGATCCACAAAAAGCCAATGGCCAAGATATGCAATGTCTATATCGTGCCAACCCCGGAGGGTGATGTCCTACAACTGTCCAGGATTGCAGAATATGAAGAGAACGTGGAGTCTGGAGTGCTCCGAACAGTCGGATTCGATGTGTACAAGGTTCACCATGAGAAGAACAACATTGAGCCTGTGGATAGCTTGGGAGACAACGCATTCTTCGTCGGGACAAGTTGTTCAACCTGCCTATCCGTGAAGGATTGTCCACACCTGTTGCCGAACCACATCTATTTCGACGATGACAATGAGTATTGGCTTCAAAACAACCAAGTGCTACCTATACGTATGCCAGGATCAAATTTCATACATACAGTGACATCATAAGTGAATAGCAGCAACAGTTCACGTAAAAAAAATAAGAGAGCATAACAGGGATTTACGCTTAATCCTAGAAACGAAGGCTCCAAACTTCACAGGCTATCGACTGGGGGCTGCGTACGCCTAGAACTCAGCATCATCTTCAGAAAACTTCACACACCTTCTTCTGAGCAGCAGTAAGCAAGGGTGAGTACACTTATGGTTGGTACTCAGCAAGGCCACAAGAAATAACCAGAATTAACGATTTGAGTCCATCTTCAAGTTTAATTAATCATGTGAGAGTCTAGGCCGCTCTTGACCGTGAGCACGGCTGATCGATCAGTTTTACACTCTGCGGAGGTCGCACATCTTTACCCACAAGTCGCGTAAAAGTTCAAAAGAACTTTAGACCCAACCATGCTATGCAAAAGTAGGCACAATACCACACTTGTGTGATTGCATAGGGACGCTACGAGGCCTTTACAAAGATTCATTAGTAAGTGGTAACCCGCTAAGGTTTTGGTGTCCGGCGCGCACAACCTACCGAAGGCCGATTATGCGACGACTCGGTGCCCCCTCTTGCCTCTTTCGAGTAAGATTACCCCAGACTAAGGTTTCTAATTATTCAGCCAAGACCAGAGCCATTTAGTCTTGTGGTAGCATTGTTTTCCTGGGTGGTTCTCCATGTTCCCATTAATGCAAGATATTCTTGTAAATAAGCATATACAGAAGGATGGTTAGGGACACTTGCCTTTCTCCAACGAAAAGTTACTCCTACTGCTCGACTCTTGCTCTCTTGAAATTTTTACTCTTCAAATCTTCCGAATGGCGATTCTTCTACTCGAAGCGATCACCGGCACAAACATACAAGCAACAAACAAGTACAACTAAGAACAATACACCAAAACAAAAGAAAGGCTTCAAAAGAGCGTACTAAAGGATAGGGCTCGATTTTACGATTACGTGAACGCAAGAAACGCTTAAAACGGAACTATGGTTGAAAAGATAAAGCTATCGAGAGATTTGAATTATAAAAGAAAAGACAAGAGCTACATGCTGCATTTATTTTAGTTGAGAAAAACAATGTAAAGATATTTCAGAGAAATGTCCTTAGTTAGAATTAATCAAGTCATATTTGCATTTACATAAGAAAAGACGATGTAAAGCTTAGTCCAGTTTTATTTATAAATATTTAAGTACAATTTATGTAAATTAACATTTGAGTTTAGACGAAGCATGTAAAAGCATCTAAGCTTATAACTTTATATTTCGAGTTCAACTAAGCAGATTATATTAAAAACACATTTGTATTTATATTAACCAAATTAACATTTAATTTATGAAAATTCGAGATATAACCCATGTAGCTTTTATTTAGAAGGCAAATTGAATAATCATTAATCAAATTGAATTTAATTTATGAAACGCCGAGGTATGTCTCTGATTAGCTTTTAATTGGAAAAATTATTTAGACAAGCGTTAATCAAATCAACTTTAGTTTACGAAAAACCAGTGTATAACCTAATTGGCTTTTATTTAGAAAGGATATGAAGTAGGCATTAATCAAATTGATGTTTATTATGAAAAGCGATGTATAACTCTGAGTAGATTTTATTTAGAAAAGAAACATGTTTTATCATGCATTAATCAATTTAATATCAAATTTATTTTTCAAAAACATGCATGAGGGCAAACATTCGTCCTGTTCGCTTGTCTTATAATCCGTACTTTTTAGCTTGTTTTTTCAGCCGGAACAGTGTTTTTATCTCACAACAAATCAGCCAGAACAGTGTTTCGGCTCGTTTTTTCAGCGAAGCGAACGGGACCATTACCACTAACGTATAATTTATATTATTATGAATTTAACACAACTTGAACGAGGTTAAACGGAGCTAAAACATAGAATTTATGGATTAAACAAGATAAGGGTCTAAACGTAATTAACCGTAGACTTGGAGGGTTAGCTGAGAAGATTCCTAAGACTCAGAGAATAGTCACTGCGAATAGATGGATCTTCGGGGCTAGATCTGCAAAAGAGCTCGGTTTGGACTAGGTTGTGGTCACGAACTTTTCCAGGGGTTTTCTGCTAAAGACTCAAGACACAAAAGCAAATCTAAAGATTAAAGTGTTTCTCAGGGGCCTAATCGCAAAGCTGCCAGGCCATCTTCTTCCTCCCGACGGGGAGCTCTGGCTGGTTCAAAACAGCGGTGCTTCCGGCGAGGTGGGAGCTCTGGTGGGGGCGCAAGGGAGAGGGGGTCGAGGGGAGTCTGCAGGGGCGGCTCACCGGCGGCGGCCGGCTCGGATCTTCACGCGACGGACGACTTCCCAGCCGCGGCGGAGCTCCAACGCGGCGGCGCGACGCGAGGGAGGCGGGCGAACGGCGGGGCGGAGCAGCAGGGCGCAGCTTGTGGGCGACGGGAGGCAGCGGCGGGAGAGAGAAACTGGGGCTCGGTGTGGGGGAAAGCTGTGACGAAGGGGGGGTATTTTTAGGCCGAGGGGGATAGGCTCGGGCGGCGCGTGCTCGCGGAGAGCTAGGAGGCGGCGCCGGAGCCGTTGCGCGACGTGGGGGATTGGCGGAAGTGGCGGCCGGCGGTTGCGGAAGCGTGCGGCGAGCGGCGCGGATGGAGGTGCGGGATGACAAGCGGGACCCGCTGTCAGCGGCTGGAAGAGAGGAGGTGTGGAGCTGGGCCGGCGGGCTGGCGACGCGGAAGCTGAGCTGGGCCGGCTTTTGCTACTGGCTGCTGCCGGGCTGAACAGAGGAGGGAAAAGGAGCTGGGCCGGCGCGGTCTGGGCCGGTAGCGAGCTGCTGGGCCGGAAGGGGAAAACAGGCCGCCTGCGCTGGTGCTGCTGGGCTGCAAGGTGCGGAAGGGAAGAATGTGCCCAAGCGAGGGAAACAAAGGAAGGAGTAGGAGGAAGCAGCCCAAAAAGGAAGGAAAAGGAGGAAAAAGAATTTTGATCAAGCAAATTCAAATTTGAATTCAACACAATTTTGAATTCAACACAAACAAAAATATGCATCGGCATGAATGCACAAACAAAGAAGATCATTATTTAATTTAGAAAAGCAAACAATTATTTTCCTATACTAAATTTCCTGTAAAGAAAAATAAATGTTGGGAAAAAATTTAAAATTATGAGAAAATCATTGTTTAATTATTCCTTTTATTCACATCCTGAAATTTGAAAATTTCAGGGTGTGACAGATGTTAGGGTTTACAACGATGAGAACGGCACTGTCACTGACATAGTTTCTGGCTAAATTGGCCCCCTCCTGTTTGGATCACTCCGAATTTTATAAAAATGGCAAGATAGGTGCAGGCAACTGCTGCTTCCTTTTCAACACTTTTTTAGTTATTTGAATTGATGCTTTGAGGACATCATCCTTTTTGCTTCCTGGTCTTTTCTTCAATTTGGAAACTGGGTGTCAGGCCACTCATTTTATTACTGTGCATTTCTAGTTGATGAAATCATTCGGAATCTTTTGTTTCCTAGCATGTAAACGTCCTGTTACAAGTCTTAGATTTTTCTCAGCTAGTCACACTGTTTATACCTATGGAATGGACCAATTTGTTGTCCAAATGGAACAGCTAATAAGATTCCCTTACAAGGGATTAACAGAAAGTTCAGCAGGGAGGTGAAATTCAGAATTGAGTGTTTTTCCCTTCCCACCATAGTCTTGTATAAATCGACTGTGACTGAGATTAATTAACTTATAAGCATGGATCCCCATACTTGAGAGATTATTTCCTTGTTCTCATCTGTTACTACAGATTGATTTTGGGTTCTAATTACAAAACAACTTTTCATGGTTTCTACCTCATGGTTAATTTCTAATCCACGAGCAAAAATAACGTAGGGTTACTAACATTGTCAAGTTGCCCAGCTTTTTGGCATGTTGAATGAGCATTGCAATAATGTCGAGAACATAAACTAAGGAACTAGCAAATTTGCAGAACTTGTATTTACACCGAGAACTACATTTTCAAGTAGGTGTTTGATTTTCTGACAAATGGTTTAGGTGGCTGTAGTTATCGTGTTGCAATTATGCTTACTGATGAACTGAATCATGTTTGGTCAAATAAATTTGCATCTTTAGTTGACAGATAATATGTAGTCGGGAGATGTGTTCTAGAATCTAATTACTATAGACCAATTTTGCTTTGACATGCCAGATTCTCGTTTATTCAGATATCCATGAACACTATTTTTGTAATATAAAGATAAAAGGCTCAGATAAAAGAGTTGTAAGCCTTTTATTTTCCAAATGTTCACTTCATCAGTTGTTCCAAAAAAGTTGGGTTGCAATTACTTACTTTCCTTTAAGTTTCTTATGAATATCTCAATCTATTGTATAGTTCATGTTCAATTTTGTTTCTCTCAGATTCAATTCTGTTTGATCCTCTACCATGATAATTAACTTGCTGACGTGTTACTCTCAGCTACCAGCCAGATAATTAACTTGCTGCCACATAGAGGTTCAAAAGGAGGCAACTGCCAACGCTGAAACGTATGCACTGCAGCAATGTTGGCCTCAACCTGCCTATCCCCTTCCTTCTTCCCCACCGCCACACACGGCCTCCTCATCATCTCCGGCAACTCCTCCGGCAGCCGCCGTTCCCCGTGGCACACGTCAGGTACGCGCATCCGCCTGCAAAATAACATCACCAAGACGAAGCAGCTTGCACTTATCAATCCATTTGCAATCTATATGTTGACGCGCAATCACGTGTGCTTCTACACACGTACCAGGTGGCCTCGTCCTTCACGCCAGGCTGGGCGATGGCGATGGCGATGGCGACGGGGACGGCGGCGAGCTCGTTCCGTCGCGACGACACGCGTAAGCCGCACGTAACATTCTGCTCATGTGCAAGATAGCCCGCGTGGCCGCCGCCCTGATCCGCGTCCTCGCCGTCGCCAAGGTCGCCTTCTCGCTGGTGAACGCGCCGTGCCTCCGGTACATGAACCAGGCAGCGCTCGGGCGGAGCTGCACGGGCACCTTCTGCGGCGACCTGCTGGTCGGGGCCATGGCGCACTCGTGGAGGATGCTCGTGCAGGGCCTCGCGTCGCTGATGTTCTTCTGCGCCCACGCCGATGAGTACGTCCGGCCGCCACCGAGCCCGCTCGTGCTGATGGCGCACGACAAGCCGGCGTCCCATCCTCAGCAGGTGCGTGCTTCAAATTTGCATTTGATTTTTAGTTTGCAAGAATTTTGGCACTCTGTGTTGTTTCACCTGGCACTAGTTTTGGCTGGCAAATCTCGGAACTCAATTTAGCCAGACAGATTCTTCAGAGTTCTCTGATGCTTGAAAAAATTCAAGTCCTTGTCTCTATTTCAGGTACACATCTCAGTTGTAGGGGCGAACAACATGCTTATCTCATGGGTCACCGACGACCGGAACGCGCCATCCGTGGTGGAGTACGGGACATCCCCGGGCAAGCACACGGCGTCGGCGACGGGCAACCACACCACGTACCACTACTTCTTCTACAAGTCCGGCGCCATCCACCACGTCACCATCGGCCCGCTGGAGCCCGTCACGACGTACTACTACCGGTGCGGCAGGGCCGGCGACGAGTTCAGCTTCCGGACTCCGCCGGCCACTCTGTGCCCATCGAGTTCGTCATCATCGGTCAGGCGTTCGTTGCATCTCTTCCAAATTGAATTCCGTTTCAATTCATATCCATGACACAGAAACAAGAAAAAAAAGAATCAACTTTGTCGTTCCATGTTACATGCCGAGTACATGGGAAACTCATTAAACGTATACTGGAAAAAAAAACGGAAAAACCGTACGATGGAAACGTCCGGGAGTGTCTGCCGAGACGTGACGGACATGTGTGTCGCATTGTAACATTTTGTAATGTAACGACGCAGGTGACCTCGGTCAGACGGGGTGGACGGCGTCGACTACGACATGCTCCTGCTCCCCGGCGACCTTCTCGTACGCGGACACGCAGCAGCCGCTGTGGGACTCGTTCGGGCGCCTGGTGCAAGCCGCTGGCGAGCGCGCGGCCGTGGATGGTGACGGAGGGCAACCACGAGATGGAGACCCTCCCCGTCGTGGAGTTGGCGCCGTTCGCCGCCTACAACGCGCGGTGGCGGATGCCGCACGAGGAGAGCGGCTCGCGCTCCAACCTCTACTACTCCTTCGACGCGGCGGGCGGCGCCGCGCACGTCGTGATGCTGGGGTCCTACGCGGCGTGACTACTGCCAGGTACTATGAGACTACTGCCAGCGTGACAGCATCTCGAATCATCGATCGATGCATCTGGAACGCATGATTCTGAATTTCTGATGCTTGAGTTTGCGCTGAATTAGGTTCATCGAGGACCACATCCTGTCGGTGTTCCGGGAGGCGAGTTTTGGGCACGGCCGGCTGAGGATCGTCAACGAGACAGCGCCGTCTGGACGTGGCACCGCAACGACGACGAGTACGCCACCGTCCGCGACGAGGTCTGGCTCGAGAGCCTGGCCGCTGCAAAACCGAGCCTAGCAACAACCACCACCGCCGGTCGTCACATAGATGAGCTGTAGTAGGAAGCATCAAAGAAGAAGAGGGATTCATCGCTACACCATTGATGGTTCTTGTGCCACACGCCATGTAATTTTCAAGGATACATCGCCGTACACACCAGCACATACACATGTATATTGCTCGGACCTCGTCTGGCGATATGCTTCAAATTTGGAGGGTCACGAGTTGCCCAATTGAAGATTCAGTAGAAACGCGCACAACTGATATTGAAATGTTCAACGAGGTTGACTTTGACAAGAAAGATATTTTGTATATTGACACCTTGAAGGATGATGCTTTGTTCATTGGGCATAACTATTCGTGCTGTCTGCCCCCAAACAATCACCCTAGGCTACTGCCCAACCATGTTTATCTCACCGATGATGACGATGAATATTCGCTGATGGATGATGATGGCCAATATTATCGTCGAGATGTTGGAATGTATAATTTGGAGGATAGCAGTGTGATTGAGATAGTCTCTCCACAGCCCTGGTTGCAATTGGCCAATTCCCGTATGGATAACACCAAGTTTTACCAAGATCAATAAATAGGTGTTTATATCGATTTTCACATGATGTGTATATTTATTATCTTTATTTTTTGTAAAGCTAATAGAAGGGCGGGCCTGGTGCAAGCGGTAGAGTCTTACTGCATGTGACCGGAAGGTCCTGGGTTCGAGTCGCAGTCTTCTCGTATTGCACTGGCGAGGGTAAGGCTTGCCACTGACACCCTTCCCCAGACCCCGCACAGAGCGGGAGCTCTCTGCACTGGGTACGTCTTTATTTTTTTTAAAGCTAATAAATATTGAGTGTATTCTGGTCTTATCCTTTTGCATACCTGTCTTTCAGCTTACTTCATTTCACCTGAAGCCCCCTTCAGTTGCAGAGGATTTAGTTTCCTTGTGGCTGGTTTCTTCTTGGTTAGAACTTTTCTCCATTGCAGTGTGACAGAAAATCACAGTCAAGTGTACATATGGTTTTTTTTAAACGGACGGCAAAAGCTTTGTCGAATTTTTATTAGAAGAGGTAAAACCAAACAAGACAGAAAAACAAAACAAAAAACAACTCTATGTACAAGGCTCTCACTTCACCAACTAAACATAACTCCCAAGAGGGAGATCCACTCGAAACAGAGAAAAAAACCCCACTTAAAAGAAGAAAACTGTCACTAAGTTGGCTCAACCGCGGGGGCTTCCTGCGTTTTATTGGCCAACTGGAACTGTTGGATGTCTTCTTTGATAGAGAACGCGACGTCGTCCACCGGTTTGGTTTCATGATTAAAAACTCGTCTGTTGCGCTCTTTCCAAATGTTCCACCAGAAATATATGATGAGGCCGTCAAAAAAAGTTTTGTTCCGTTTGTCGATCATGCTCCTGCATTTCTTCCACCACTTGTGGATCGAAAGCGATGTGTTGCCTGGGGGTAAGTGGTTAACAGAAAACCATCCCTGCAGCCGGTCCCAGACTGCCGTTGTGTAAGGGCAGTCCTTGCACAGGTGTGTGGGTGTCTTCTGGTCAGAATTGCATAGCTTGCACTGAGGGTCATTAGGCCACCCCGCTTTTCCAAGTTCTCTGCCGTTAAGATTTTTCTATGCAGGAGAAGCCAGGCAAAGATCCGGCATTTTGGTTCAGCTCTAGCTTTCCATATTGGAGTAATATTCAACTTCTTCAGTTGGCCTTGGAATTGTATGCGGTATGCACTCTTTGTGGTATACTCCCCGTCCTTCGTCCACCTCCATGATATTTCGTCCTCGGCATTAGGGTCACACTGTAGCATATTTATTTCCTCAAACAGCTGCACATACTCTCTGATTTCCTCCCCCGTCACGAGTGGGTAAACCTACGCTATCCAGTAGTTATCTTGTAGGGCCCGTTGTACAGAGAAGTTTTTCCTTTTAGATCGTTGGAACAAAAGTGGTGCCAAGTTTCTTGGGGACTTTCCATTCACCCATGCCGAATGCCAGAAGTTTGCTTTCTTTCCATAGCCCACCATTACTACCGTTGACGCATAGAACAGGTCTTTGTCATTCTTATCGCACAGGATATCAAGTCCTACCCAAGGTCTCTCGCTATACTTCCACTGGAACCAGCACCATCGCATTCTTAGAGCCCTCGCAAGTCTCTCGAGGTCGAGAATCCCAAGCCCTCCCACGTCCTTAGGCGTGCACACTGTTGGCCATATAATTAAGCAGTGTCCTCCGTTGACCTTTTCTGGTTCCTCTCCTTTCCAAAGGAAACTGCGACGCAGGCGATCAATCTGATTGATCAGGCATTTTTGAGCAGGGAAAACTGTGAGGTGATATATTGGTTGTGATGTTAACACACTCTTCACCAGTGTTTCTCTCCCGGCCGATGATAACATTTTACCTTTCCATCCAGGAAGCCTTCCACCGATCTTGTCAATTAATGGTTGGACACGTCCACCCTTCTGAGTTTGCGCGTGTGGAGAGGCAAACCCAAATATTTTCCAGGGAAGGATGAAATCTTCCCCGGGAAATCCTGTAGAGCTTCTGAGATGGTTTCGTTGGTACACTGGATAGGGAATATTTCCGTTTTAGTCATATTTATCTTGAGTCCTGAACATTCTCCAAAGATCTGTAACAAATGTCCGATACGTTGTAGTTCTTCTCTGTCCGGATTTGCGAAAATGGCTGCGCCGTCTGCATAGAGGGAGCATCGTAGCTTTGCCGCTCTGGGGAGGATTAGTCTTATGATGTTGTTGCCGGCTGCCAGTTCCACCAGTTTATGGAGTGGGTCAATGGCGAGGATGAACAACATGGGTGATAGTGGATTTCCTTGACGGAGGCCTCTAGCATGCTTGAATTTTTTTCCCATGTGTCCCGTTAAGTAGTACCTTGGATGATGAGGTGGCTAATAGTGTTGTGATCCAATCTCTCCATCTTTGGCCGAAACCTAGGGCCTGTAATGCTTCGATGAGAAATACCCAACTTAAGTGAGTCGAAAGCTTTTAAGATATCGAGTTTTATAAAGAGTGCCAGTCTCTTTGATTTGTGCAATGGTCCTGTTCGCTTATCTTATAATCCGTACTTTTCAACTTATTTTTTCAGCTGGAACAGTGTTTTTCTCTCACAATAAATTAGCCGGAACAATGTTTCGGCTTGTTTTTTCAGCGAAGCGAACGGGCCGATGCATTTTTTTTTATGAAGGCGTTCTGACATCCAGAAACTAGTTCATTCAATCTCAGAGCCAATCTACCTGATAGCACCTTTGTTATGATCTTGGCTAGACTGTTAATGAGACTCATGGGCCGGAAATCTGTAACCATGGTCGCTCCTTCTTTCTTTGGCAGCAAAATGATATTGGCCTCGTTAATCAGTTCCCTGCGCCTGGTCCTAAGTGAGTGGAAGGCATGAAGAGCTTGCATCAGATCCTCTCCGATCACGTCCCAACACTTATATAATAGACCAATAAATCCGTCCGGGCCGGGTGATTTTTCCGCTGGTAAGTGCATGACGACCTTTTTTATTTCTTCCGGTGCTTCAAGGTCGGTCAGGTCATGTGGTTGATATCCGAGATTTGTCCAGTTTAGGCTGAGGGATCTCTCTTGTGTTTTGCCCAATAGGTTTACGAAGTGATCGTATATTATTTCTTCTTTTTGCTGGTGGTTGTTGGTCGTTGTTCCATTTACGGTGGTTAGCTTTCTTCTTCTGTTGTTAGCATGCAGCATAAACATGCGTGTGCATGCGTCTCCTTTACGAATCCATGTGAGCCGGGAGTGTTTCCTTGAGGCTTTTACCTGTGTACCTTTAAAAAAGATACCACACTCTTGTGTACCCCTCAAAAGTTGGTCGTCACCTACATGCCTTCGCTCGAACTTTTCTTTTCCCTCACGCCATTCCGTCAGCATTTGCTCCTAACGGTGGGTAACAGCTCTGGAGAATGACTCAGTTGCCCTTGGGCTTGTATGGGTGTCTGAACTTTTTCGTTTTCCCTGTGCCATTGCCAGGCCAATTGGCTTTGGCGCAAGAGACGCCGCTGTTGGCGCCAAAGGATAGGGATTTGGCGCCAAAGAGCCTGCCCTTCTCCTCCTATATATTGGCGCCAAAGGCCAGGGAGTTGCCACTCTCTTGAGCCCTCTCTCTTTGACAGCCATGTCACAAGGTAGCAGCAGCTATGGTGGTGCGCCAAGGCGGCGTGTGCTTTGCCCGAACTGCAATGTGCTCGCCAATCGCTTCATCTCGACGACTAGGGCCAACCCCAACCGGGCCTTTCACAAGTGCCCTTATTTCACGGTTTGTGCTTCTCTCTTTGGTCAACATTGTTTGTCTTTCCCTCTTTGCTCAGTCTCTATGTTGGATTTCAGATTGGAGGATGTCAGTACTATCAGTGGGAGGATGAGATGGGGGAGACAGCTACACCAATCCAAGCAGTTCCACTGCAGGCAGTGGCAGCACCTGGTGGTTTTCCCACAGCTCCTCCTCTGGCCATCTTGCAGGAAGGTTCCCAGGCAACTGTAGTTGAAGGCCATGCACCAATGGACAAGAGGGTGCAGCAGCAGCTTAGGAGGATTGAAAAACTTGTGTATTTGTGCTTGGTGCTTGCTTTGTATGCTATTTTCAAGAAGTAGGCTGCTATTGTGTGTGTGTGTGTGTGAGTTTTCATGGATGTATGGATCAATCAATGCATGAATGAATAGATGAATGAATGAATGCTTCTCATGGTTCATAACAACATTAAGACAAAGAAACTAACAGTTCACTCATCCATCACATAACTGGTAGCATAATGTGTTTCATCACCAACAGCATATGGTGTTTGATCACATCACTTACAGTTTACACATAGAAACTAAATTACTAGAGTTTGTTCACATCACTAACATGAACCATCAATTCAGACAAGGTTTTTCATGACAGCCCCAAAAGAACATCAAAGTACCAAAAGATCATGCGTCAGGGCCAAAAAAAGAACATCACAGCACCAATAGAACATCACTAGAGTTTCTTACTGCAGTTTCTTTGGTGTCAACTTCTTCTTCACTGCTCCCTTATTTCTTCTTGGTGTGCATTGTGGATCCACAGGCTCAAGTGGGAGGTCATCAACTGGCTGGCTGGGCTAGGTGTCCACTGTAATGGAGTCCTCATTGAAAGGAACCAGATGCACAGATAAGAGTGGGACTGGATCATTTGAACCAGTTCCAGACCTGACAGTCAACAGTATGCATTAGATTTCCACCTGGTTGAAATGAAAAGGATGAGGCAAAGAACAAGTTCCTTGTAGACACACTAGTAGGAGCTGAGGTTGAACTAGTGGTGGCTGGTGCTGCACCCTTGTGTTTTTGTGAGGAGGTTGAAGAAGAGGATGACTTCCTCTTCCTTTTGTTATGGATGGCATTTGCCACTGCCTCATTGAATGGGAACTGCATCTGGGATGGCTGGGCCACCACAAGACTCCTCTCTATGTTGCTTGCTGTAGCCTTCTTCAACCTCTTCTTTGGTGTGCCCCTACAAAGGAAAATAGATTAGCTTCTGTGTATGCAAAGCTATGTACATGCAAAGGTAGCTATATGTATAGGACAACAGATTACC